GTAACTGAAAAATGAAGGTTAAAAAAAATAGAAAAGGAATAAAAGCAAGCAAGCAATGGTCACTTAGAGCTCTTATGGGGTTATTAAAAGTAAGTCATGCCAAACTAACCTTATTTCCCTTAAAATTGGGGCTACTAGACTGGTAAATCTGTAATGCCACAGATAATACATCTTGATTTCAGAAAGGCCTTTGAGAAAGTACTTGAGAATAAAATAAAGAAACATGGTTTATTCATTCAAATGAAGCAAGTTTGAAGCTCATTTCAACGACTTTATTCAAAACATGTTAATATTTGATTGACGTTATCTAAAAGAAAGCTATAGCATTAAATAATTTTTAATGAATAAATTGTTAAAGAAATCTGAAAATGACACCAATTTGGGAGGGGAAGACAAATCAAACGTCAAAAATATCTGGATGGGGCTTCCCTAGTGGCGCAGTGGTTGAGAGTCCGCCTGCCGATGCAGGGGACACGGGTTCGTGCCCCGGTCCGGGAAGATCCCACATGCCGCTGAGCGGCTGGGCCCATGAGCCATGGCCGCTGAGCCTGCGCATCCAGAGCCTGTGCTCCGCAGCGGGAGAGGCCACAACAGTGAGAGGCCCGCGTACAGCAAAAAAAAAAAAAAAAAAAAAAAAAAAAATCTGGATGGATATAACAAAAAGACAACTAAGAAGATAAAATGCATTGAATATAAATATAACATCAGCCTTTACATATAAAAAGATAAAACTAGTATCACAGGAGGAAGATCTAGATTAAAAGTAGTCTGAGTTCAGAGACTTGGAGGTTTTAATTGCTCACAAAATCAGTAAGAACCAACAGCATGACAAGGCTATCATAATAGGTAAGATAATACTGGACATTAAATCAGGGAGGTAACTGTCCAAATATAATATGGAGTGTTCACATGAAAGCATTTGTTTTTATTTCAAGATGTTTTGATTTCAACATTTTATGGCAGTTACCTGTCTAGAATATGCATAGGAAAGGATTTACAGAGATGATTTGGGGGATTTTTGTTTCTTATATTAGCAAATTAGTAAGTCACAATTCAACCCTCTGCTGAAGAAAACTAACAAAATTTGATGAAATATAAAATACTTCATGTTAAAAACATCAAAGAGCTAACAAAACAGTGCAGAATTTCCTGATATAAGTTCCAGAAGAGGTAACATTTAGTATACAAAGATAGCCATTCACATGAGAAGATAAGACACCATGAGCATAATAAAATGACAGTGCCACAAGCAGACACTCAGGGAGTCCAGACACTGAAGTTTTCAAACTTTAACCATAAAACAAATCTGCTTACAGTATTAAAGCACATCAAAAAACTTAAAAGCTTTTGCACAGCAAAGGAAAATATAAACAAGATGAAAAGACAACCTTCAGAATGGGAGAAAATATTTGCAAATGAAGCAACTGACAAAGGATTAATCTCCAAAATTTACAAGTAGCTCATGCAGCTCAATAACAAAAAAAACAAACAACCCAATCCAAAAATGGGCAGAATACCAAATAGACATTTCTCCAAAGATATACAGATTGCCAACAAACACAAGAAAGGATGCTCAACATCACTAATAATTAGAGAAAGGCAAATCAAAACTACAATGAGGTTATCACCTCACACCAGTCAGAATGGCCATCATCAAAAAATCTACAAACAATAAATGCTGGAGAGGGTGTGGAGAAAAGGGAACCCTCTTGCAATGTTGGTGGGAATGTAAATTGATACAGCCACTATGGAGAACAGTATGGAGGTTCCTTAAAAAACTAAAAATAGAACTACCATATGACACAGCATTCCCACTACTGGGCATATACCCTGAGAAAACCATAATTCAAAAAGAGTCATGTACCAAAATGTTCATTGCAGCTCTCTTTACAATAGCCAGGACATGGAAGCAACCTAAGTGTCCATCGACAGATGAATGGATAAAGAAGATGTGGCACACATATACAATGGAATATTACTCAGCCATAAAAAGAAACGAAATTGAGTTATTTGTAGTGAGGTGGATGGACCTAGAGACCGTCATACAGAGTGAAGTAAGTCAGAAAGAGAAAAGCAAATACCGTATGCTAACATATATACATGGAATCTAAAAAAAAAGAAAAATGGTTCTGAAGAACCTAGGGGCAGGACAGGAATAAAGATGCAGACATAGAGAATGGACTTGAGGACACGGGGAGGGGGAAGGGTAAGCTGGGACAAAGTGAGAGAGTGGCATGGACATATATATACACTACCAAATGTAAAATAGATAGCTAGTGGGAAGTAGCCACATAGCACAGGGAGATCAGCTTGGTGCTTTGTGACCACCTAGAGAGATGGGATAGGGAGGATGGGCGGGAGACGCAAGAGGGAAGAGATATGGGAACATATGTATATGTATAGCTGATTCACTTCATTATAAAGCAGAAACTAACACACCATGGTAAAGCAATTATACTCCAACAAAGATGTTAAAAAAAAAAAAAAGACTGAAACAAGATCATACAAGACATGGAAATTCTAGAGTACCCAGAGTAGTCTGAAACTGTCATATAAGGAATGTTCAAAGGTCAAGAAGTTTTTAGCTTAAATAAGAGAAGACATATGTAAGTCCTAAGAGTAACCATCAGTTACTTGAAAAATGCATTTTCCTATTGCCTTGATTCTGTGTTTCTCCAGAAAGTAAACTAGAAGCAGTGAATGGAAATAGCAGGGATGCAGCTTTAAGCTCAGTTTGAGAAAAATGTCTTCAGCAATTAGAATTATCCAATATCTGCTTCACTGTCTCACAGAATTGAGATTGATATCACAGTAAGTGATAGCATATATTGTTAGACAGTTGTGTGTATCACATATTGTAGGAGAGTCTATCTACTTCAGTAAGATACTAGATAGAGTAGAAGGGCACTGAAGTTTATCCACTATGATTTTTTCATTCTAAATAGAAATTTAATAGAACCATAAACATTAAAAATATTCTAAGCCACTATATTCCAATGTATGGTCTGAGAATGTTCCAGGATTAATATATTATAGAAGAGTTCTTGGGTCAAGAAATTTGGGAAACTCTGGGTTAAGCAAAGTTAAACAAGTTTCTTTGCTTCAATATTTCTCATCAACTTTAATGCTAATGTGCATCAAAAACATTCAAAGGGAATTTCAGTGTGCAGCATTGACCATAATAAAAACTTTTTTCATGTTGCATATTTATAAGACAGGTTCTGCAGAATACTTTTAGGGGAATATTGGGCTAAATAATTCTAATCTTAATCTCCAAAAATATTTTTCAATTTGCCTTCATTCTATGTGAAAGCTTGAAAGAATTGAGTTGAATAATACAATTCAAATATAAATTTTTATAAGGATGAAACAAAAAAAATACTATCACAATTTACCACCTCCTAATTGATTATAAAGGCAGTAATTTTCACCTTACCAAAGCCTTTCATTCTGCCTATCCCAACAAATCTAGAGTTAAAACAGGAAATACTGGGTCATTGGAACTAGGAATTACCTGGCATTTAATCTTTCATGCTCACTTCTGGTTATAGCATTTATTAGTGTCTATATTCACATATAAAAAATGAAGCTCAGAAATGTTCAGGGATTTATTTAAGGTATCCAACAAAGCAGTAGCCAAGTAACAAAAAACACTGTTCAAATATCTCACATACAAATCTATTGGTAGATAGTTGCTAGTGATGAGAACTAATCCCTTTCCTGAAAAGCTACTTAAACAACAGCTACAACAACAAAAAGGTGCCAAATTGCCTTTTTGCAGTAATAAAACTATCAAAAGAAAAGGAATCTGAAAGTATAAAGGAAAGGTCACTCTACTTTAGGGTTAAAACAAACATTAGTAAGAGAAAGATTAAAAAAAAAAGGTTTAGCTTAGCAAGTAGAGAAAATGATTTTGACAAGAAGGTCAATCAGACAAGGCCGTCATTCGCCTAATAACAGTGATACTACAGTCACCAAGCGCCTTTATGAAAATGCAGATGTATTTATGAACAGAAGAGCAAGGGTCCTATTTAAAGTAGGAGAAAGAGCAGCGACTCCAAAGGGTTCTTTGCAACCTTTTCATCTAGACACTATTAATGACTTGGTCAAACTAAATAAATTAAGAAAGTGAAAAAGGCTGAAATAAAATTCTCCTTCTACTAAGCTTCTGCTAAATGGTTTTGTCTAACAAAATAAAGCAAACAAGATATCTTGCTGCCTTTGTAGTCTCTCCTAGTTAAAATATGTTCTTTACTCTTATTAAATCCATTTATACATCTTCATAATGGATTACTACAGACAACACAGACTACCTGCAAACATGCACTGTTTATTTTAGATCAAGAGGAGCTGGCAGGGCTTCCCTGGTGGCGCAGTGGTTGAGAGTCCGCCTGCCAATACAGGGGACATGGGTTCGTGTCCCGGTCCGGGAAGATCCCATATGCCCGGAGCGGCTGGGCCCATGAGCCATGGCCGCTGAGCCTGCGCGTCCGGAGCCTGTGCTCCGCAACGGGAGAGGCCACAACAGTGAGAGCCCCGTGTACCGCCAAAAAAAAAAAAAAAAAAAGAGGAGCTGGCAAAGTAGTTTTCATTTACAAGCTAGGATACGCTTCCACATGCCTTAAGCTTTTAAGTTTCTCGTTCTCAAATTATTTATATTTACATATTTGTTTTCTATATTATCTATATAATTGTTACTATATATATATTTATATAGGACATAATAATTTAAATGGTCAAAAGCCTAGAACTTTCTCCTAGCCATTTCCTTATCAGTAAGTCATCTTCTGTTTTTCAGTTTCCCACTGGCTTTAAGACTAACTTCTGGCTTCATTCTTGTCAAGTATGCATTAGTTTCACAACCCAATCCAGTCATCTTCTGATGGGTGACATTAAGAAACGTGAGTGAGGCCGGGATGTGCTCGGATTGATGCCAGGTTCAGAAAATGGAATTATAAGTGAGAACAATGCCAAGGTAAACTAAGCCATCTTTTACTTACAGCTGACACATGCTGCAAGAGACACATGACGTCAATCATATCTGCGAGGATAAGGAGTCTGGTAACTGCAGCCAACAAGGCACGGGCAACTTGAACCACAGCCTCCCTTTTTGGGAGATAACAGGGATCATCTGCAAATCTCTCAGCTGATACTTTCAGAGCTTCACCTGAAACACATAAAACCAAGTAAGTTATACTTTAATTTCACTTATGCCTGTTGCAGCATTTATCATCCAACCTAATTCCAAGTACATTCCATGACTAAGGATAATATTAAAATACTGTCACGACAATAGAACATCGTCTCTCAATAAACAATGCAGTTTCAAATTGACATTTGTTTTTGATAAACGCTCTGGAGTTTAAGAAGCATGATACCATTTTCCCGCAAGAAAATTGTGCTCAATTGACTGGCAGCATCTAATAAAATTGCTGTCAACTTCTGCATTTGCTGAATCTCATTTGCTGTGAAAGGTTTCATCACTAAGACTTCAATCGGAAACCATCTTGATTATAAAAATAAGGTAAATCTTCACTGAGTTACTTTTGAATTCAATGGATGCTAGAAAAGAGCTAGCCTTTAAGACAGTAAGACAGCAGATCTCTGGTAAAAGTTTAACATAGGCAGATTTATTCTAAACTGTCAATATAATGAACAAACTATACCCTAAACTTAGTCACAGAAATAATATTTCATAGTACTTGTTACAGAAATATGGTCACTATTTTTAAGGTTTTTTTCATTTAAAATGTTTTATTATAAAAGTAACAGGTACTCATTTATTTTCCAAAGTTCACAGTTCAGAAAGGTATAAAATGACAAGAAAAAGTCCCTCTTTACCCCACTCCAGTAACATAATTGTTAAAGATTTACCACATCCACTATTTTTTAAGTTTTTCAATTTAAACTTACTTTTATTATGAAAGCAATATATGACTCATTACTTTCAAATAATTCACCATACTAAAGAGTATAGAGTGCAATTTTTTTTTGTCTCCATACTAATCGAAAAACATCCATTAAGTTCTTGTATATCTATCCAGAATTTTTTCTATGAATGTATGTATTATGTGGGGGCATATGTATACATGTACACTTATAAATTCACATTATGTTTTATTAGTATATTCACATATATTCATATACATTCATATATTTGAAAGATTTTATGTCAAGAGAAAACATAGATAGGTATTATATGTTATAAAAGGAACATATAGAAGATATAGATTCTTTTCACAAACAGTATTATACTAAAAACTTTCAAAATTTTGTTCTTTTCACTTATCAATTTATTTTCTTTTCACATTGGGATACAAATGACCACGAAGCAATAGAGCAAAGAACTTAACAGTGTGGGCAGAAGCCACTTAGCCTCTTTATGTTTCATTTTTCTCCACTGTAAATGGAGCTAATAATAATAATACCTACAATTTTTATGAAGATTAAATGAAAGCAGTGGTTAGAACTTAGTTAAAGACTTAATTAGCTGTTATTGTCATTCTTTTTAATGCTTTAATAAAGTTACTTTTTATTGATATATTACAACTTATTCTACCAGGCCCCCCTTTCTTCAGTAAGTTCTTTTTCCAGCTTTGTTGAGAAATAATTGGCATACATCACTGTATAAGTTTAAGGCGTACAGCATGATGGTCTGATTTATACATATTGTGAAGTAATTATCACAGTAGGTTCAGCTAACATTCATCATATCATACAGATAAAATAAAAAAAGAGGAGATTTGAGAAGATGGAGGAAAAGTGAAATGCGGAGATCACCTTCCTCCCCACAGATACATCAGAAATACATCTCCACGTGGAACAACTCCTACAGAACACCCACTGAACGCTGGCAGAAGACCTCAGACCTTCCAAAAGGCAAGAAACTCCCCACGTACCTGGGTAGGGCAAAAGAAAAAAGAATAAACAGAGACAAAAGAATAGGGACGGGACCTGCACCAGTGGGAGGGAGCTGTGAAGGAAGAAAGGTTTCCACACACTAGGAAGCCCCTTCGCAGGCGGAGACTGCTGGTGGCGGAGGGGGGAAGCTTCAGAGCAATGGAGGAGAGCGCAGCAACAGGGGTGCGGAGGGCAAAGCGGAGGGATTCCCGCACAGAGGATCGGTGCCGACCGGCACTCACCAGCCCAAGAGGTTTGTCTGCTCACCCGCTGGGACGGGCGGGGACTGAGAGCTGAGGCTCGGGCTTCGGTCGGAGCGCAGGCAGAGGGCGGGGGTTAGCAGTGTGAACACAGCCTGAAGGGGGCTAGTGCGCCACGTCTGGCCAGGAAGGAGCCCGGGGAAAAAGTCTCGAGCTGCCGAAGAGGCAAGAGACTTTTTCTTCCCTCTTTGTTTCCTGGCGCACAAGGAGAGGGGATTAACAGCGCCGCTTAAAGGAGATCCAGAGACAGGCGCAAGCCGCGGCTAACAGCGCGGACCCCAGAGATGGGCATGAGATGCTAACACTGCCGTTGCCGCCACCAAGAAGGCTGTGTGCAAGCACAGGTCACTCTCCACACCTCCCCTCCCAGGAGCCTGTGCAGCCCAACACTGCCAGGGTCCCGGGATCCAGGAACAACTTCTCCGGCAGAACGCACAGCGCGCATCACGCTGGTGCAACGTCACGCCGGCGTCTGCCACCGCAGGCTCGCCCCGCACTCCGTACCCCTCCCTCCCCCCAGAATGAATGAGCCAGGGCCCGTGAATCAGCTGATCCTTTAACCCCGTCCTGTCTGAGCGAAGAACAGACGCCCTCAGGCGACCTACACACAGAGGCGGGACCAAATCCAAAGCTGAACCCCGGGAGCTGTGCTAACAAAGAAGAGAAAGGGAAAAATCTCCCAAAAGCCTCAGAAGCAGTGCATTACAGCTCCACAAAACACCTGATGTACCCTGCACTGTGTAATACCTGAATAGACAACGAATCATCCCAAATTGAGGAGGTGGACTTTGGGAGCAAGATATATTATTTTTCCCCTTTTCCTCTTTTTGTGAGTGTGTATATGTATGCTTCTGTGTGAGATTTTGTCTGTATAGCTTTGCTTTCACCATTTGTCCTAGGGTTCTGTCCGTCCGGTTTTTTTTCCTTTAAAAAATTTTTTTCTTCATAATTATTTTTTATTTTAATAACTTTTATTTTATCTTCTTTCTTTCTTTCTCAATATGTTTTCTCCCTTTTATTCTGAGCTGTGTGGATGAAAGGGTCTTGGTGCTCCAGCCAGGAATCCGCGCTGTATCTCTGTGGTGGGAGAGCCAAGTTCAGGACACTGACCACAAGAGACCTCCCAGCTCCATGTAATATCAAATGGTGAAAATCTCCCAGAGATCTCCATCTCAACACCAAGACCCAGCTTCACTCAACGACCAGCAAGCTACAGTGCTGGACACCCTATGCTAAACAACTATCAATACAGGAACACAGCCCCATCCATTAGCAGAGAGGCGCCTAAAATCATGATAAGGCCACAGAAACCCCAAAACACACCACCAGACGGGGACCTGCCCACCAGAAAGAGAAAATCCAGCCTCATCCACCAGAACACAGGCACTAGTCCCCTCCACTGGAAGCCTACAAAACCCACTGAACCAACCTTAGCCACTGGGTACAGACACCAAAAACAACGGGAACTACGAACCTGCAGATTGCAAAAAGGAGACCCCAAATACAGTAAGATAAGCAAAATGAGAAGACAGAAAAACACACAGCAGATGAAGGAGCAAGGTAAAAACCCACAAGACCTAACACATGAAGAGGAAATAGGCAGTCTAACTGAAAAAGAATTCAGAATAATGATAGTAAAGATGATCCAAAATCTTGGAAAAAGAATAAATACAAGGAACATTTAACAAGGACTTAGAAGAACTAAAGAGGAAACAAGCAATGATGAACAACACAATAAATGAAATTTAAAATACTCTAGAAGAGATCAACAGCAGAATAACTGAGGCAGAAGAACGGATAGGTGACCTGGAAGAAAAAATAGTGGAAATAACTACTGCAGAGAAGAATAAAGAAAAATGAATGAAAAGAACTGAGGACAGTCTCAGAGACCTCTGGGACAACATTAAGCACACCAACATTCGAATTATAGAGGTCCCAGAAGAAGAAGAGTAAAAGAAAGGGACTGAGAAAATATTTGAAGAGATTATAGTTGAAAACTTTCCTAATATGGGAAAGGAAATAGTTAATCAAGTCCAGGAAGCACAGAGAGTCCCATACAGGATAAATCCAAGGAGAAACATGCCAAGACACATATTAATCAAACTGTCAAAAATTAAATACAAAGAAAACATATTAAAAGTAGCAAGGGGAAAACAACAAATAACACACAAGGGAATCCGCATAAGGTTAACAGCTGATCTTTCAGCAGAAACTCTGAAAGCCAGAAGGGAGTGGCAGGACATATTTAAACTGATGAAGGAGAAAAACCTACAATCAAGATAACTCTACCCAGCAAGGATCTCATTCAGATTTGATGGAGCAATTAAAACCTTTACAGACAAGCAAAAGCTGAGAGAGTTCAGCAACACCAAACCAGCTTTACAACAAATGCTGAAGGAACTTCTCTAGGCAAGAAACACAAGAGAAGGAAAAGACCTACAATAACAAACCCAAAACAATTAAGAAAATGATAATAGGAACATCATATCGATAATTACCTTAAATGTAAATAGATTAAATGCTCCAACCAAAAGACACAGACTAGCTGAATGGATACAAAAACAAGACCGTATATATGCTGTCTACAAGAGACACACTTCAGACCTAGGGACACATACAGACTGAAAGTGAGGGGATGGAAAAAGATAGTCCATGCAAATGGAAATCAAAAGAAAGTTGGAGTAGCAATTCTCATATCAGAAAAAATAGACTTTAAAATAAAGACCATTACAACAGACAAAGAGGACACTACATAATGATCAAGGGATCAATCCAAGAAGAAGATATAACAATTGTAAATATTTATGCACCCAACATAGGAGCACCTCAATACATAAGGCAAATACTAACAGCCATAAAAGGGGAAATCGACAGTAACACAATCATAGTAGGGGAGTTTAACACCCCACTTTCACCAATGGACAGATCATCCAAAATGAAAACAAGTAAGGAAACACAAACTTTAAATGATACATTAAACAAGATGGACTTAATTGATATTTATAGG